GAAATTGCAGCTAAAGGTGCCTGGAGCATCTTGCATTTCTTCCAGGCAGTTGCCCCACAAGCACTGAACAGGAGAGGCAGCACCAGCACCAGTGGCCATCGCAGGCATCCCTGCATCAGCACGGGGTCCATGTCCCATCGGGGTTATGGACCAGCACCAAAGCAGGCGAGAGGGAAAAACAGCTCCCAAAGGGCTGTTTTAGGCACTTTCCATGCTGTGCCTCAGCCTCTCTTCAAAGAAAAAAAGGTGCAAATAAAAGATAAAAAGGGGTCAGTAATGTTACCGGTGCGTTCCCAGCTTGCACAGTGCTGGGAAGACTGTGCTCTTCTTTTATCTGCCTCTCTGGCTCACTGCCTCTTCTCCCACATTCTTCCTTCTTTCCCGGTCTCCTGAGTCCCTCCTGCTTGTGAATCTCCACATTGACATTATGCCAGTGTCTTTCCCCACTGCCCAAATACCACAAAACTCCTTAAATATGACCAGAGCTATAAAATCTTGGGCCGTATGGCTCATTTCTGCAAATTCACATGTTAGCCAGCATTTACCCTGCACCAAAAAAGATGTGGAGGAAGATGCATGACCTGGTTTATCTTGAAGGTGCATTTTGGTGGGCTGCCGAGAGCTCTCCGTCGCTCTCACTCTGCACCCATGCAGTTTTAATCCTCCTTGCCATTTTGCTCAGAAAACATCCCCTGCAGCAAAAGAAACAAAAAAAAAAAATAACCCCCTTGGAGGAGAAACCTCGCAATGCTTCCCTCGCGGGCGGTGCCAGGCACTGCTCCACTCCTGGCAGCTGATACCCCGCAGCCGCCGCCGCCTCACGATACCTGGCACAGCTTTTCCAGGACGTCTTCATCTGCTCTTTCCAGCCCTGCACCTGGAGCAGGACGTGCCAGTGGCTGCTTACGCCTCTGCCTCCAGACACCGGCTCCTGCAGGGTGTTTTGTTTCCATCGCTCTCCCGGACCTTTCCTGTTTCCTTCCGTTCGGATGCAGCCGGAGGAAATCTCAGCGCGTTGGCTTTCCTCTGGCTGGGTCCCAGCTGCAGGCACAGGCTGGGGGCAGTACTGTGGCTCGCTGTGTCCTGGGACCTGTCCTCCCTGGCAGTGGTGACGGTGGTGGTGGTGGTGCTGGTGGGTCTCCTCGTGCATGCAACCAAGCCTCATAGACCTGCTCACCGTGGTCACACGTGTCAGTGGTAGTAGATGTGTGCAGAACTGCTGCGTGGTAATAACTGGGACTACTCAGAAACCTGCATTCAGTTTCCAGGGCAATGGAAGTGCTTCTTGCAGAGGTGGGATTGAGAGCAGGGAGAATAGGACTTAATTAGCTGTGAAGGGGAAAGGGCTGGTCGGTGTCTTGCTATGTGGGCTGAAACCAGGAGAGAGGTCAAGCACATGTAACACAGATGGTTGTTTTGTTAGATTCTTCCAAAGGTGAACTTTGAACGTGAGATGTGCTCACTCAGGAGATAGCTATATTTATATACGGGTAAGATACATACTGTTTGGGTGAGTAAGAGCCTTTGTTCCAAGTCCCAATGCTAAAGCCCACATGGAGTGACAATTTGGCTCTGCAAAGCTTCCTTTTCCTTTGCTTGAGGAGTTGCTGTGTTTAGGAAAACCTAACTTCACAAGCTGCATCCCGCTAGCCCCAGTACCAGCAGTATAGCCGTCAGCTCTGCTCCAGCCAAGCCCTTTCATTAACTGCAGTGAAGAAGACCTGGCCTTTATTTTACATTAAGGTGCCAGGAGGAAGAGTAGCCTCATCCCTGCCATTGCAGGCTCTGTCCCTGGACGGCTGGGATGAGGCCAAGGTCTCTGTAATGGAGCTGCCTTGCTGCAAAGGAATAATTAGGAGAGCCCTGTGATTCCCTCCACTTTGGAGTGAAGGCAGGGAGCTGGTGGCTTGGTGGTCCCCGTCCCACAGACCAGCACCCTCCATTGCTCTCTTGCCACACCAGAGTGCATTCACCATGGATCCTGGTGAGGTTCTTGGCTGCAAAACTTCTTGTGGAAGAACCAGAAACTTCCACAATCGTGGTGAAAAACATCATGGTGGCTTGCACAGTGTGCGTGTCTTTTGCGGGCTTTGCAAGGAAGGAGCCCACCATGTCGCATTAATACTTGTGGAAATTCAAAGGCAAGTGTTGCCGGAGAAGCTCTGAGATGAGCTCACAGATGTTGGGGTGGCAGTGATGGGCACGTTGTGGGGAGATGGTCCCCGTCTCTCCTTGGCCTTGGGCACGGCGAGGGGATGGTGGCAGCAGGGTACCCAGCTCTTCTGGTCATCCGTGCTGGATTTCCTTCATTGGGCTTCATCCTGATGAGTTTGAGCCTGAAATACCAGCGCTGCGCTGCTGGGCATCCTCATCCAGGGCTTCCTTACTGTGTACTCAAGTGCTTCGTCCAGATGCCCCGTAGCACTCAAATCAGAAGGACATTGATTCACTTGGCAGGTTGTTAATGTTAGCTGAAATACCCTTTTCCACATTGTTCTGCCACGCTTAATGTGGCGTTCAGCATCGCAGCCTGTAGAGCTGGGGATGATTTGCGATTGAATATCCATTAGGGATTTATGGGCGTCAGGGCTGAATTGCCGGGACGTGCAATTGACAAAATACTTGAAACGCTTCCACTGCAGAGGGGACCTTGTGGGAAAGGAGCACTCGCTGTTCTTGTACACAGGCTGTTCCCACTGAACCTCCGTTACTGGCAGCGAGCACACCCAAGCCAATAAAAAATTATATGGGATCCAGAGCGCCAATGGAGCGCGAACAGTGTGTCGGATGACGATGGGGAGCAAGCTACCGCTCCTGCCATGCGATGCTGGTGCTCACAGTGGCTCTCAGTCCCATGGGGCGGCTCAGCGGGGGTGTTTAATCCAGGACATGGTTAAACATGAGCACAGTTTGTATCGCTGTGACCCTAACAGCTGGTTAAAACAGGGTATGAGGTTGTTGGGAAGGGGGGAAAAGTTATTTTTTGATGCTTTTCCATCTTGCACTGCAAGCACCTCTCATGCTAGCTCATCGAGCCCAAAGGGGCAGAAGGCAGGGTGTAATTAAACATGGTCAAAGCTGAAAGAGCCAAGAGGCAACGGCATTAAAAGCAGATCTCAAGTCCTTTGCTTCAGAGACATTGGGTTTGCCAGAGGATGATTTGGGGCAATACCTGCTTTCCAGCAGCTCTTCCCTTTGAGCAGGCATTTGTGGCTGCCCATCTCTCCCATCTACCATCCCTTTGGAGGGTTTTAACCTCTTTTTTCCTTAAAATGAATAAAGAAGAAAGGAAGAAGCTTGCTGAAGGGTTTGCCAGCAGATTTTTCTTGGGAGACATTAACTCGCTGGGTTGCTGGCTTTTTTCGTGGCCACGCTGGCCTGCAGCTCAGTGGCTGGACCTGTAGGACCCACATAGCCAAAACCATCCCAAAATTACCCTCCAGACATACCATTTCTTACCTGGCTGTGGTGAGCTCATCTCGGGAGGGGGGAACAGACCCTGCAAGCGAAACAATGGGTGGGAACATCACTGGAAAAACACGCTGAGCTCCAGGGGGAGAGCAGGTTTGCCATCCCATCTTGCAGAAACATTGCAAGCTTTGAGCAAAGATCCCAGCTGCTGTGGTCCAGCTGGGGAGGGTGAGCTGCCCCGGGGCGGGGGGGTCAGCATCACCTGGGGCCTGAGCTATTCTGAATCAGACCCAAAATGCTGCTGGGAGGCAGCTCTCACCTTGCTCCCATCCTTCAGCTGAGCTTCCAGCCTCCATCAGCTGCTAAAATCTCATCTTTTCAATGGGGGCTGGAAACACACCCCCCCAGCATGTGCCACTCATCCCCTGCAGCCCATGCAGGGTTTGAACTTCGCAGAGCATCCTTGCAGAGCTATGGGGTAGCATTACCTGATTTTTTTATGAGCAAAAAAATCAGGAATGATGGGACATGATTGGCAAGGGCATTTGGGACAACTCTGCGGGACAGAGACATATGAGGGTCTGCAGAGGAGCTGGGGAAGGCTTGGTGCTGAAATTCCCTTGAGTTTTTGCCCTTTCCCAGTTCCTAGCCCCCTCTAAGCTCCTTTCCAAAATCCCAGCTGTAAACCCATGGGCGCAGAGATGTGCTGTGTGCCGGGGCAGCCTAGGCTCACACATGCTGCCAATAATAAATAATTAGTACCCTGCTAGCAGGGAAGTCCGTGATCTTAGCAGCCAAGCTGGGCACGTTTAAGAGAGCAGCCCCACTTCCCTTTGCCACCTCGCCTGGCTTTTTTTACCCTTTGCTATTTGATGTTTTGCTATTTAATTTTTTCTCTCCTTGGGACTGCTGGCGAAGCAGGAGCCGACGAGGGGGTTGTAAATGGTGCTCAAGCACGGAGGAGCCCAGCCCCAGCACCTGGGTGGTGTGATGAGCTGGTCAGGGCTCAGTGCACCTCCCCGCTCCCCTCTTGTCTCGTTGCATGGGGACGAAACGACCTGGGGGGGAGAAGTTTCTGGGCGCTGGGGCATCAGGAGGAGAGGCGAAGGGGTGCATGCTGGCCCGGCTTGGGTTACTTATGTGCTTATGGTCTATTTTGAGGCTCCGGCCATGCAGCGCTAAGCAGCTGCTGACCCAGGGAAGGGACCAGCTTCAAAACAAGAGTCCGGCGGGTAGCAACCCCGGGAAGCTCTGGATTTCCCTCGTTTCCAAGCAGGGCTGGCAGCACCCTCGCCTCCGCCCTGGGCCCATCCTCTCATGGGTTTTGACATTTCCACAGTGGGAATTGCTTTTCTTGTTTAATTCTTCCTCTTGCCACTCGTGAAGGCAAAGACGGCCCAGTTTGCAAGGCCGGGGTACTTTATAGGGAGCGATGTGCTGGTGGTGATGGGGATGCGGATGAAAGAGCAGGGAGACGTATCCGTCACTAGCGTTGGCGAAACTGCGCACCCACAACCCCCTCGTCTGCTCCCCCCCCTCCCCAAGAAAGCTCATTTGCGCACGGCTTAGTTTGCCTAAGAGCATTAGAGGTGCATTTGGTGGACATTAGCCGCTCGAGCAGCGCCGGGAGCGTGTGGCCGATTAGGGGCAGCGGCAGCTGGTTTTCGGGCAGAGCGCTGCATTTGGGGCAGAAATATTCGCCGTGCGCCTCAGGGACGCAAAGGTGAGGTCGGGGGGGACAGGATGGGTGCTGGGGGGGGGGGGTGTGGTGTGGTCAAGTGACATGTCTCGGGTGCTTGGATAAACTATCTGGGTGCTGATGTTGGGTGGCATGAGAGCAATCCCCTTCCCTGCCGCGTGATTTGGGAAATGGGAGTTGTCCCCCGGGCTCTCCAGCGCCATTTCAGATGATATTTCAATTTTTTTTTTTTTTTTTTCCTTTAAATATCACCTCGCTCTCTAATCCGCAGACTCTTGCAAAGGGGAACGTTGTCAGGGATGCTTGTACGGCGGGTGCTGGTGCGTTCGGGGGCACCGTGTCCCCCGCTGCACCAGACAAGGGAGCCAGCCTGGGGGAGGAGGACACCCTCATCCTCATCACCCTCTTTCCCTTCCCCTCCCTTGCAGCCTCGCTCTCCGCTGGGATTTATGGAGGTGCTGAGGAGCAGCTCTGAGCCCCGCAGCCGCCGGCAGCCCAGCCCGTAAAGCAGCGCCCGGCCGCCTCGTCTCCTCTCGCCCGGCCCCCCGACCCTCCGACTCAACCATTCAAGGCTCCCGTGCATGGATCGCCCCAGCGAGGGACCGCTGCCGAACGCCGCCGACGCCGCCCCGTAGGCTCCCGGCCCCCCGTGCCGCCCCCAAGTACTCCACATACCCCGATGGGGTAACGTGACGGGGGTCACCCTCCCGCCACCGCCACCCCCCCCCCCCCACCCCCCCATATGCAGAGGCCTTTCTAGAGCGCCAGGGAGCGTGCGGCACCGGAGGCGGCAGCTGCTCGCCGTCACACACACGCCAAGGACGCCGACACTACAGCAAAGGGATTTTTTTTTTAATTATTATTATTATTATTAATATTATTATTATTATCATTAATATTATTTTTTTCCCATCTGGCTTTTTCCCCCCGGGGGGCTTGCGGTGTGTCGAGGAAGCCGGCGCGCTCCCAGGAGCTGGCATTATTTGCACAACGTCTGTATATTGAGTTCTCGATCCCGTTTTATTTTTTAAACACAAAGGGGGTTGTTGCTGGGTTTTTTTTCCCCTCCATACCACGCTTTTCTTGGGTTTTTCCCCCCGCCACCGTCAGCATCACCTCACCCTCCTCCTATCCCACCATGGCCCGGATGAACCGCCCTGCGCCGGTGGAGGTCTGCTACAAAAACATGAGGTTCTTGATCACCCACAACCCCACCAATGCCACGCTCAGCACCTTCTTGGAGGTAAGGAGGGGAGGCTGGAAAGGGGTAACTAGGGTCCAGCTGCATGTTTTGGGGCTAAAAGCTGATGTTGGGATGCAACAGGGATCGATCCTGCGTAGGATGAGGTAGCGGCACATCCCCTCTGATACCACGGCCCCCGGTGGCATCCCAGGGCGGTGGGTCCAATCACAGTTAGTTTTTTGAGGTGGGTTGTTTTGGAGGACCCCAAGCATCGTGTTTGGGCACAGTGGAGATAGAACAGAGTTTCCCCATTCCTGTTGCACTCCCCGCCAGCTCCCCCAACACATCACGCCAAGGGACTTTGCGTCGACGTGCGTGGATGCGCGCAACCCTCTGCATCTCCCAGCACCTGATTTAAGACTTTTCATCCCAAATATCCCAGCGTCTTTCCAGTGCCCAGGCTGTGTTGGGCGGTACACGAGGAGCTGCTGGGCTCTGTTGCATGAGCCAGCAAGGGTGCCCTGCCTGGGAGCACTGCCTCGGGTACTGGCAGCAGCTGGGAGTTAGTGGGGGTTTAATGGATGCATGTCTGTGGTCCAGGATAAAAGGCTTCAACTTTTTATCAGTGCCTGGGGGAAATACCATGTCCTGCAGGTTCCAAGCAGCTTCTGTTAACAAGGAGTCGTTCTGGGATGTTACTGCATTCACAGGTGGATCTGGGGCTGTGCATGGCCCTGACAAAGGGGTTTTGCCTTAGACCTAAACGGCATTGAGATCCAGTGTGCTGGTACCAGAGGCACCCTCTGAGCTCAAGGAAACCCTCCCGGCACACACCCAAAAAAACCCACATGAGCACCACCAGCTCGGACAGCCGCAGGAAGGTGGTTGCCACTTGGGGACAGCCACCTCATAACCTGCATACTGTGCGCAAGGCAGTGGGGATGGCACGAGTGGGAAGGGGAAAAAATTCCCCTTTCCTCCAGCCTCTTAGATTTTTGGCCGAGCTGCCAAGCGTGCAGAGGTTTGCCGTGGCCTGGCGAGCACACAAGGGGAGCGAAGGAGGTGGATCGTGGAAGGGGATGATCTCACACGGTGCTCGGTGAGGCCGGTACGCTGGCATGTAATCCGGGAGCAATCCTTGGGGCGGGCGATAAGCCACGCTGGAGACAAACCAAGTCCCACACCCAAGCCTGCAGCACGTTGGAGTGATGACGGGATACGGCAACGAGGTCAAGAAGAAGCCCCTGAGCCATCTGCAAGATGCTGAGCGGCGGGATGTGCTGTGACCCACCCCCCTCTCCCTCCCCCCCCGCCCCTCCCCAGCTACATTTGTGCATTTCTGCAACAGGAGTTGAAACCTTGCTGGGCACAAATAATTTCTCCTTTCAGGGGACTTGTGCTCATGTCGGGGATGTTTCTTTGCCTGGGGTGTAAAGTCCCTGCTGGTGTGGCCATCGGGGCTTAAAAATGAACAGCCCCATGGGTGCTTGTGACTCCAAGGAGTGTAAATCCTACTGTGTAAAAGAGGAAACAAAAAAGACTAAAAACGAGTACAAATCCTACTGTGGCCATGTGGCGTTGGTGCCCTGGGATTCCATGTTTCCTTGTGCTTCCCAGGCTGAACGGACCACGGTGGGTTTGCTTGAGGGTCCAGAGATGGGTCACGGCACTGTTTTAAGGTCCACAGTGGTCCGTGTGGTCATGTCAGGGCTTGGATGTGTTGGGGTTGACTGGGGTGCACCTGGTAGGGTTTTTTCAGACCCCTCCTTCTCTTTCCCTCTCCAGGACCTGAAGAAATACGGTGCCACCACGGTTGTGCGAGTGTGCGAAGTGACATATGACAAGACCCCCCTGGAGAAGGACGGCATCACTGTCATGGTAGGTGGGAGACAGGATGGGGGGGGGGGGGGGGGGGCTGCCCAATCCCCTGTTTAAATCACCCCATCCCTGGGGTTTGCTAAACACCCTGCATTTCAGCTAGAGCGAAGCAGCAGCGCGCTTGCTCGGGAGCAGGATTTAAAGCCCAACATCCTCCTTGGGGCAAGGCAGGCGAGCTCCCCACTCCCCAGGGTTGAGATGGGGCTGGTGCTTTAAAAAAAGAAAGTGCTGCCCACGCACCCGAAACTGTGACTCATACGGTTGAGTCGGCAGCTGCCTTCCCTGCCCGTCGATCCGGCTTTAAAGTATCCAGGGGATGAGAGCGCCTGATCCCACGTGGAAGATGCGCGTGGTTCCCATTACCCCCCAACGTTATCTTATCCAGGGGGATGGGGAGGTGGGATTTTGCTCTTCCAGCAGCTGGCTGGTGCAGCTCTGGGGGATGAAAGGGAGGAGGCAGCAAGCAGGAAAAGGCAAGGATGCAGAGCAGGCAGCTGCCTGGGCTGCATCTTGGCTGATAAGTAATCGGAGATGATGTCAGGCCTGATTGCCCTGCCAGGGAGTTCAGCTCCAGCTGGAAAATGAGGCTCTGCTCATTATTTAGCAAAGGGTTTGGAAGTGCCTCGTGTCTCCTGGGGTGGTCCTCTGCACTTAGGTCCTCTCTGTGTAGCTCTCTCAGTATAATGAATATCCTAGAGAGAGAGTGCTATAGCCTAGATCCTCATGTATATCCTCGAGAGAGAGCATGCTATATCCTAGATCCTCTGGGATATAGGTAGATAATAGATCCTGTGTCTCTCTAGATACAGATCCTCCATATGCAGATCTCTCTAGATGTAGATGCTGTGTCTCTACAGGATATACCTTATAGAGATAGCTGTATCCTACGTATACAGTCTGTATGTAGGATATCATATCTGCTCACACACCAAATTCTGCCTTTTACCCTGTTTCTGAGTCTGGAGTCCTCCAGTCTGAGTTTCTATCTGGGATATACATACCTCTGCATATCTTATACAGAGAGATACCTGTATCTAGGATATGTTTTATACAGGGAGATATCAATATCCTAGATACAGAAACTGTATAAGACACTATATAGAAACTGTATAGCTTCTATAATGTTTCTATAACTGTATAGAAACTATATAAGGTATATCATATAGAAAGATGTCTATATCCTATGTATCTATGGATAGATATATCTATGCAGATACAGAGGTATCTTTATATATGCCAATAGCAAATATATCTATATATGTATAGACTATATATGCTAATCCCTTTCTTTGGGGGATAAGCACAGGCTAGTTGAGGCCTGACTCGGGTGTGGGGTGCCTGGCTGCCAGCATCCACAGCCGCGGTGCCCACACATACGGTGGTCCTGTCCTGGATACAGTCCCTGGGTGGTTTGGACACCTCCTCTGCTTTTGGCTCTTCTGTGGGCCACGGGTGATCCCAAGCAATCTCTAAAGCTGATGGCAGTTACCAGGTTGTGCTGGACACGGGTATCTCGTGCTGTGGACATCTGCTCGGTAGCTCTTCTGGCAGGTCAGAGATGGGGCAGAAGTCCTGTTGGAGAACCGACACTGTTCGGGTTTTACTGTAGGAAGGTTTATGGTGCAGGGTGGATATGCTGTATTTGATATACCAAAGTGTTTAATGTCTTCATTAGTGACATAGACAGTGGGATCGAGGGCAACCTCAGCAAGTTTGCAGATGACACCAAGCTGAGTAGTGTGGTTGACACGCTGGAGGGAAGGGATGCCATCCAGAGGGACCTCGATAGGCCTGAGGACTGGGCCCATGTGAACCTCCTGAAGTTCAGCAAGGCCAAGTGCAAGGTCCTGCACATGGGTCGGGGCAATCCCCAGTATCAGTACAGACTGAGTGATGACTAGATTGAGAGCAGCCCTGCAGAGAAGGATTTGGGGATAGTGGTGGATGAAAAATGGGCCATGAGCTGGCAACGTGCACTCACAGCCCGGAAAGCCAACAGTACCTTGGGCTGCACCAAGAGAAGCATGGCCAGCAGGTCGAGGGAGGGGATTCTCCCCCTCTACTCTGCTCTCAGGAGACCCCCCCTGCAGTGCTGTGTCCAGCTCTGGGGCCCCCAACATCAGAAGGACATGGCCCTGTTAGAGCCTGTCCAGAGAAGTGCCACGGAAATGGTCAGAGAGCTGGGACACCTCTGCTGTGGAGAAAGGTTGAGAGAGTTGAGGTTGTTCAGATTAGAGATGAGAAGGTTCTGGGGAGACCTTATTGCAGCCTGTCAGTATGGAAAGGGGGCTTATAAGAAAGATGGCAAAAGACTTTTTACCAAGGCTTGTAGTGACAAGACAACAGTTTTAATCTGAGAGAGGGTAGGTTTACATCAGACATAAAGAAGAAAGTTTTTATGATGAGAGTGGTGAGACTCTGGACCAGGTTTCCCAAAGAAGTTGTGGATGCCCCATCACTGGAAGTGTTCCAGGTCAGGTTGAACAGGGTTCTGAGCAACCTGATCAAGTGAAAGATGTCTCTGCTTATGGCAGGGGGCAAGGACTAAATGATACTTGAAAGTCCCTTCCACTTCAAAACATTCTATGATTCGATGATTTTGTGGTATGGTGTGTCATCCCCAGGGCACCATGGGGAGGAGATGGTCTTTCAGGACAGACAACAGGCTGTGCAGGGTGGGCTGGCTCAAGCATTAGGATACCCTGAAGCCCAGCATGCTCCTTTCCTATCAAAGCCCAGCTGAAATCACATTACATGTTCACACACTGAAGTGAAGCTCAGCAGCTTCTTTTGCCATCTCACACCAAGGATGACTCCAGAACAGCAGCTTAGTGACTCAGTCTTCAAACGTGAGGATCGTGGCCCCCTGCTTCCCACCCAGTGGGACTCACCATGCCACGTCCATCCCATGTGATGCTCCCCTGCCTGTCCCTCTCTCCCACTGCTGTGTAGCCAGTGGCCACACTCCTCTTGCCAAATCTATTTTGGGAGAGAAATCGCCATTTGGGGAGAGATGTGCAGCCTCAGCTGGCTGCCAGTGCCCATGGGGAGAAACCATCCTTTCCCCAAAATGCTGCATCAGTCTCAGGCAAGTGTGGGGGACACCTTCCCCCTATAGCAGAGCCCAGGGCCCGGGAGGGGGGGGAGGTGCTTAATGCAGCACCCGTTTTACCCACTTCATCACAGAGCTCCAGTGTTGAGTCCTTGCAGTTTGAGGATGAAGCTTGGAAGAAGATGGGCACTTTTTTATTGTCACTTAAGAGCCTTTCCTGAAGGATGCTGTTTAAAGGGCCTCATTTGGAGGGATCTGTCTCCCTCCCGCCCTTCAGCTCTCTCTAGAGCTGTTTTGGGGGTCCCCAGAGCATCCTTTCAGGGCTTGTGCGTTCACCTTCCCCTACATGTGTTGCAGCAAGCTGAATTTTGGCACCGCATCAGGTCCTGAGCTTTTAGCCATCGCCAAGCCACCTTTGCTTAAACTTCCTACAAAGTGGCTTTGCGTTCCCAAGCGCTGGATTTAGACAGGAGCTGGCGGCAGGGAGGGTGGGAGTTGCGTCGCCCTGAAGCTCAGTATGGTCATCCGAATGGGGAGGAGGCAAACAACAGCCACCCTCGTCTGCGGGAGGACATGGGGACCATGTTGCAGATCCTGTAGGTGCTCCTGAAGGCTGAACCTGTCCATAAGAGATGGGAGGACCCCAGACGTAGACTTGTATGCCTGCAAACCCTGAGCCAAAGCAGCTGGGGAATTCCTGCCTGCCGGATAGTGCCACAAAACCCGCTACATCCCCGCAGAGCTGCGCTGTGACCCCGGTTCCTTGCACACGTATCCACCTCCCTGCTGCCAAGGTCCCAAACACCATCCCCCTGAGTAAAAAGCAATCCCCTGAGTTTTTCCCCAGGGTCTTGAGGGTGTTTCTCTCTTCCCCTGACCTCACCCCCACCTTGCAGGATTGGCCGTTTGATGATGGAGCGCCTCCTCCCAGCAAGATAGTGGAAGATTGGCTCAACTTGTTGAAGACCAAGTTCTGCGAAGACCCCGGCTGCTGCGTGGCCGTGCACTGCGTGGCTGGCCTGGGGCGGTAAGTCAGAGCCCAGCACCCCGGCTGCCACCCCACCCATGAAGGGAGGAGAGGGAAAACCATGCCCACCTTCCTCCTTCCCTTCCCCAGTCCCCTTTTGAGCAGGGTTTTCGCATGCAGTAAAACCTTAGTGGGAATAGGTGTTGATGGGGGGGGGGGGTCTGCTGCCTGAGCTTCTCCTTGCACTTCTTACAACCGAATCCTGGGCAGCAGGGGAGACCTGGCTTGCTCGGTGCTGTCCTGACAGTGCCCTGCATATGATTTGCTTTTGCTAAGATCTCATCATGGAAATATTGCCAAACGCCTCCCACTACAACCGGGAGCTGGTGCTTTTTGAGAGCTGCAGCATTTTGCTGCATCCCCAGCGGCTGGTCAGGTTTTACATATGTATTTACATCCACTTTTCTGATAAATTTGCATCCAAAGTCCTCGTGCTCATTAGAAGAGAAGCAAACATCTGCCAGCCCCGTTCTAGGCGTTTTACCCCCACGGTGCTCCTTGGGGCAGTGCTCGCAGCCAGAAAGCAAGAATTTACAAACTAAAAGCCACCGCTGACAACTGCCCGCAATGCCACCGTTGCAGTCCCCCCACCCCGGGGGGGTGGGACATCAGCCTCCGGGCTGCGTGGCCGGGGAGTGACCGCCGCTGCCATTGCCTTGCAGCGCTCCCGTCCTCGTCGCGCTGGCCTTGATCGAGAGCGGGATGAAGTACGAAGACGCCATCCAGTTCATCCGACAGTAAGTCGAGTGGTGTTTCGGTGCCGGGGGAGAAAGCAGCCTCCCTTGGAGGGAATGGAGAGATCTGGCGTGCCGCAAGGGGTTTTGGGGGATGCTGGAGTTGCTTTCCTCTCCTTTGGCGGAGGAAAAGGGAGGTGCTGGCATCGAGCACCCTGTGCCTTTTGCATCAAGGCTGCAGGAGGCTGGGGCAGCAGCTGGGAGCATCCCTGGAGGGCTTTTGGCAGGCAGCCTGCTTCTGGCAGCTGCCCCACGTGTTTCCTCCTCAGCTCCGTGCCCTGAGAGTCGCAGAGCAGATGAGCAAGAAAAGCTGCCTGGGGTCAGTGCCCGTCTCCATCCCTGGAGGATGCACACAGCTGCTGCAGCCTCCCAAATCCCTTTCTGCTTCAGGCACGGGGGTTCAGCACCCCAACAGGGTTGGGTTTGGGGTGGGGCTGTCTCCTGCTGCACCGCTGACTGTGCCGGCCCTTCTCTGTCCCCGCAGGAAGCGCAGAGGAGCCATCAACAGCAAGCAGCTGACGTACTTGGAAAAATACCGACCAAAGCAGAGACTCCGATTTAAGGACCCTCATAACCACAAGAACAAATGCTGCATCATGTAACCTCAACGACCTCTTGCCAAAATCTGTGCACACAGACACCCGGGCACTCGCACGCATCCCACCCCCTCACCTCCTCGCCCAGCCCCGCGCACCCCACGCACCGCCCCACTGCCAGGGCTGGGGTGGGGGGACATGGAGCACCACTACCGTGTTCCAGCACCCACAGCACGGTCGTCTTGCTGGACCCCTGAAAAAGGCTGCTCTCTCCAGCTACAGCCCCGAGGAGGGAAAGCAGCGCTGCCCTTTGACTCTTGGCGTTAGTAGGCAATGAGCTCACGTGACGGTTCTTCATCACCTTCCTCCTCCTCCTCCTCCTCCTCCCTTTCCCCTCCCGTTGCACTGAGAGGGATGGGCAAAGGGCGCTTGGTTTGGAGTGATGCAGGCAAGGCTGTGCCAGCTGAGCAGGGATGGGGAGCAGAAGGGCCGGAGCATCCCCAGAAAAACCCTTTCCCACCTCTTCCTTATAAATAAGGGCTGCAGCAGCAGGGACAGAGGTGGGTATGGCGCAGTGGCCTCAGCAGGGGGAGGATGGTGATGGCAGGGAGAGATAAGGAGGGCTTATAGCTCAGTGCTGGCCTTGTGGCCACGGGAAGGGCTGAGCTAAGGCCCCCAGCACCATTCCCTTTCTCCTGGCCCCTCTGCCACTTCACCATCTTCCTGTTGCCTCGATGCCAGCCGGGATGCTGCAGGTGGGGCTTGTTGGGGGCTCGATGCAGCACAGGCAGGGGGGTGGGGAAACTCGGGGACCATGGACGGACTTTGAGGCACTCAGCTTTGCCGGGGTGCAGGGTCCACACCGGGTGCCCCAAAGCGTGGGGTGCTCTTATTTACAGCTTCCAAATTAAATGCACAGGGTGGTGGGTTCTCTCCTGTCGCGTCCCCATCACTGAGCTGCGGTGCAAATCCCAATTCTGGCTGCAGTGCCCTGGGGACGCAACGTGCATCTCAGGGCACGTCCATGTCCTCCACCGCTGCGTTTGCTGGCCAGGGGCTGGGCTGCAGCTTTCCTGGGGATTTTGGGTGCTCCTGGCAAGAGCACATCACCAAATTTCACACCTGCCTTTCCCACATCCGTAACGTGGCTCGTGGCACCCCAAAACCCCCCAGGATGTGCCCTGGTGGGGTAGACTCAGAGCTACCCCTGAGCTAGGACATTAAACATCTCTCGACTTTCTGCCTTTGAACGCTCGCAGAAGCTGGAGCGGTGGGCACATAGCGGTGGGCATGGGGGTGTTTTTTTCTTTTCACAAGGATAAGAAATTTGCTAATTAAAGGAAAAAAAAAAAACTTAAAAAAAAAAAACAAAACAAAACAACCTGTTTGTCTTCCACACGTCCTCTGGCCTTTCTTTCTCCCATCACTGCCCAGTGGAGCCTGGGAGGTGACCCATGGCCCTCCCAGACCGATCCCTGGCACTGGGTCACAGCTGGCTGCCATCCACTGTCACCAGGGCAAAAATGTGGCCCAAGGGATTCTCCAGGTATCCTTTGGGCTCACTGCTGCTCACCCCCTCAGCTGCAGAGGATCGCAGCTGTTGGGACAAGGAGGGCCAGTCATCCAGCATCTTGTGGTTTTAGGCTGCCTAATTTGAGAGGCCTTCGGTGCCCTGTGTTGAGTATCTCCAAAGGTTTGTGTGCCTTCCAAAATGTAGACTATCCAGAGACATTTACTTCATAGGGCTCATCTCTTGGGATAAGCGGTGAGGAAGGCTGGTTAGACACCTTCAGTACCTGCAGAAGGGTAGGGGACGGCCTCATGCCACCACACATGGGCAGAGGAGGAGCTTGGAGCCATTTCCAGCAACTCTCTTCTTCTCCCCATGGGAGCCAGTCCCGCTGCACGGCAGGGGGGGCCATCCTGTGGGACAGGCTGTGGTGCTGAGTGGGGTAGGGAGCCTCCACGCATGGCTCTGGAGTTTGTCATCCTGCACACCTCTGGCCTGTCCAAGCCTCCACATTGTGGGTCAGCCCTCAGTCCCTTGAGTTTCTCCTGCCCCATTCCAGGCTGTTGATTCCTATGTCTCATGGAGAAGGCAGCAATGGTCAAAGGATCTGTGTTGGCTGAGAAGGGTGAGAAATTGGGCTGATCTTGTATTACAGCAGACCCACTGGGTGGGTCACTGTCCCCTTCCTGCTTGGGTGTGTCCTGCTGCTAAAATAGGTGCTGCTTCATCCCTAGGGACAGTAAGTGGTGGCTTGGCATTGGGACAGGGACAGCCCCAATCCCTCTTAGCCAGGAGACCTCACAGTCCCGTGTGCTTCCCAGTCACAACAGGCTGTGCCACGACTTGTGAAGAGTTTAGGATAATGCAGTGGGAATCGTTGCTTTGCAAGCTTGGAGATGTTTCTGCCCTGGCAAGAGGAGGGATGTTTTCCTCACCCATGCACATGGGAGCATCACATGGCAGATTGCCCAGTCGAGGGCTTCACCCACAATTCTTTTGAGTGGGTGTAGGGGTGGGGACAGAGGGGCTTGAACTCAGCCTCCTTTGGCCACTGGAACTCTTCATCTCCTCCAGACAGGGTTTGATGGTGGAAGTGCTTGGTGCTGAGCTCTGATGAGAGTACACTCAAATCTCAGCTTAGTGGGCTTGTTTGGGAGGAACATGAGGGGGACAGGCTTTGCAGTGCTCCTTTGCTTTATGTAGCATCAACCCAACCACCTTAAAAATAGGGAGCAGTCCTTGACCTGATACAATCCATATGGCCAAATACTGAGCGCCTCTGGTTGGCAGAGCGGCATCTTGATACTCCAGTTTTATGAGTCACTGCAAAAAAAGCCCAAAATCATGCTGGTTTAATTGTCCCAATTTTTTTCTTTTTTCCTTTTTTTTAATGGTTATGCTCCCCACCCCCCCCCCGTCCTGGAACTTGCTGTCACCTTCCATGTGCTGCTTCATCTCCAGGACACCTTGGCAGCCCAGGAGCTGCTGACCTTGCATGGAGGGCTTGAACCTGCTCCAAGGCTCTCTGGGTTGGACTGACAAATATTTGGGGTTTTTTTGATACGGATTTGGGCTCCTACCTCTGGGGTATCAGCTCCTCAATGTTTCAGCCTAGAGACGGTTATAGAATTATAACTGGCTGAGGAAATTGAGGGGTCTTCCAACTGGGTTTTGTGTTAAAATCACAAAGAAGAGCCCAGTTCCCTCATAAAAATCTTGGGACAGTTGGAGAAGAGGGAAGGTTGGAGCTCAGTAGACACATAGCACCAGAGCAAGGCCTAAGCAGACAAGGGCTCATGGTTTGGGCTGGTTTGGGGGTCTCTCCTTGTATGCTAATCCTCATTTCACCTCGGATGCCAAGATGTTGAAAGGAGAGCCTTAAAAATCTGATGTATTTGCCAATTTTGTTACTGCTCCACTTTGGGTCTTGGCTGATGTCATAGGGAAGAGACAGCCCCATGGCTTTGGCTACAAACCAGTCACCTTATCCTGCCCTTTTTCGCAGAAGCAAAGGCACAAACTGGGTTTTATACCTCCTCACCCCTACCCACCTCCCTCACCCCCTCCATGGAAACCCACCATCTTTCCTTAGTTTGCAGGGACGGAGCTCCAAACTGGTAGCAAGAGCTTTGGAGACCCAAGGAACGGCAAGGCAGAGATGCCCTAACCATCAAACCAAGAGCTCGTAAGGTTTTCCCAGGAATCAATCACGGCTGAACCTCACATGGTAGAATAAATCTGAGCAGGAGTTCGTAGTTGTGTCCCCTCACCGGTAGCACACATGTGTCCTTGTCTGCGTTTCGGTTAAGAGGCTTGTGTGTCCCTTCTGTTCTCCATGTTTGCCAGTTGGAGGGAGTGTGTGGTGGGGGCAGTAGCGGACAGGCAACGCAGCCATCGCAAATGGCCAGCTCTTTATTTAAGAAAGGTCTGGTGACATGTATTTAAAGACTTCACATTTGTAAATTCATATTGTGAGTCTTGCAATAAGGCTGACACTGCGGTGCTTGGGCTGGGAGCTTCAGATGAGGAGGTTTATAAGTAACAGATTTCCCGAGGAAGCAAAGTCTTGTTCTATCTACAATAGAATGAGTCTTTTTTTTTTTTTTTTTTTTATTGGATTTGTTTGGTTTTTATTAATCCCAGTGGGAAAGCGCACAGGGAGATTCGTGACTTCCATGCAGTTTCCAGGGTCTTACATCTTACTTGCTTCCAGCGGGCTGGGTAGGTGCAGTTTGGCGGGTGGATTTGGATGGGATACTGTCTGGTGGGAGAAAAATGTGGCTGGTTTCTTTGCGCAGCGGGGGGGTCACGGGCCGGCTGTGGTCCCGCTCGCAGTCTCTAGCAGACATTCCCGGGGAGGGGGGCATTTCGCCACGCTCGGCTTCCCTTTAGACGATGATCTCCCAATGAACTCTCAACTTCCCTGCTGTTTCTTTCTGTGCAACAAAGAACTGCATATTTTCATTTTTAACTCCGTGGGCAATCGTAGTAGTATGTAGATTAAGCCCAGATGACTTTTTTTTTTTTTTTTTTTTTTTTTTTCCAGTCTGAGCCATAGCTAAATTATTATACCCAATGCTTTTTGTATCAGATGGCATCACTTTGAATATGCAGATGAGGTATAGGATCTTGACACTTTATAACCTTTTTAAAAAGAGACTTGTCTGTTTACTTACGTCTTGTGTAAAAAGGAAAAAAAAAAAATGTATGCCTTTTAGTAATCACTTTTTTTTTGAGTTATGAAATTACAGTGGTTACACTCCAGCAGCGAAATAAAAAGCGTTCACTGTTTTGTACATCCCTGTGTGCTGCAGTGCTGCTAATGGGGGAGTTATCGAGATGGGGGAGGCAAAGGCAGAGCCGAACTCTGGCTAAGAGATGGTGGAGGGGTGCATGGGGGGGAGGGTGGGTCAGAGTCCTTCTGCCTCCCCTTGGCTCAAGAACTCAGTCCACTCCCATCCCATCCCACATGCGTCCCAGACATTTCCTGGTTTATTTTCCTCCTCTCATCCCATTCCCCTTTCCTGGAAGCTCCCAGTACAGGCAAGGAAGGTGGCTGGGAAACAGTCCTACCGCAATTAGATGATGGGCTGCAACCAGCTTAGATAAAGCAGAGCTCAGGGCAGAGAGAGGTAATTTGCCCAGTGCCAACACAGGTGCTAGGGGTGCACCCAGGGCTCCAGATGTTCACAGAAAGCCCTTTTCCCCATAGGCTGCTCTCTGTCCCATCCAGCGTAGTCACTGTGTGTTCCATCTTCAGTCTTTCCTTAGCAAAACGTCATGCAGGTCTTTGGCAATGATTGCCAGGCCAGGCAGCCCCCACTTCCAGCAGGCCCTCAGCATAGCCACCATGATCACAGCAGGGTCAGGAGCCAGCACCTTGCCAGAGAGTCCAACCATCACAGCATTTACTTCCAGTCCAAGCGAGGTCTTCTCCAGAGGAGGGTCTGGCAGTGGGAAGACCCCAGAGCTGGTCTGCAGCAGTGGACTTGACTGAGCTAATTACATTGCTCACTTACCAAATTGTGTCATGGTTTTTAAGTACCCACCTCATCATCAAATAATTGGCATAAGCAGAGCCCACACACACCCTAATCTGTGTCCAGCATGTCTCAACTGATGCAGTTGGATAAAAGATGTTGTAAGGCTCAGAGATGCCTTTTATCCCACATGGAAAGAGCTGACTCCATAGCAAGGTTGTAGGGTGCTGTTGGACAAGATGCCCATCTGAGGGCCCCTGTTGGGTTGCTAAGGGGCCATGACTAATAAATCATAGCATGCAAGAGCCTGACCACTTGAGGTCACCAATGCAGTGGGCAGCCCTTGTACCAAAAACACCAAATACCTGGACTGACTGTGACCAGCCTCTCCAGGCTCTGGCATGAAGTGGCAATGGGAGGAACCAGCTCCGAAATATCCATTGTCCACTGGCACAAACACACCTACCAGTGACGCCTGGGTTAGGAAGATCTTGTAGCTAGAAGATCTGGTGACTGCTTCTCCCTCCCTTGCTGCTTCTATTATAGACCAGTTTAACAGCTAACTCTGCTGGGTGGAGAGCAGCTGCTCAGTGACTGAGGTCTTGGGGCAGCATCTCCCGGTTGAGCAACATGAGACATGTTGACCTCAGTCCACCCAGGAAGGTAGACTGGGTGGACTGGACAGCACACCAGCAAGGAGGAGCCAGGTTGAATATTAGGGTAGATGTTCTGCTGGCGAAATGGACTTTTGGAGGGAGGACATGGTGTTCAAGCCCTTGGAGGACTTCTAAGAACAGGAGAGATGTTTTGTGCCATCCAAGCTCAGAATGGGAGGACAACCTCTGTAATGTGGTTTTTATCCCTAACACCACTAATGCTTTGTGGTCAGCTGTGGTCCAGCCTAGCTCTTCTTAAGGCTCAGAACCAACTGAGCAAGTTAAAACTGCAAAGGCAACTGACTTATGCAGGACATGGGATGCTCAAAGACATGGCAGGTATCTCAGCATTTCTGCAGGAACTGGCACATATCATCTAGGGGATAATATCTTCTCTTGCCTGGGAGAGGGGGAAGGCTGATATGAGCTGGACTCAATGTTTTCCGCCGGAATGGTCTGCTAGGAAAAGAAACCTGATTTGGAAGATGTCAGATGGGTTTTACTTACCCACTCTCACCATCCAGGTCCAACTCCAGACCCCTCAGTACTGCCCCATACCTGGAACTCTGGGACGACCCGGGCACTGTAACAAACCAGCCAGACTGCTGAAGAGGTGGGCTCGGGACTCACCACAGCTCAACAGAGCCAGCAGATCATGGGGAGCTTTTGACCCTCTCCAGTGAGTGATGCCCATATCAAAGCTCTTCCAGATAAAAACATTCAACCAGCTCAGCCCCAGGTTAGGGCAGAGGGGCATGAGCCAGCAGATTGCTGCATGGGAAGCTGCTTCAAGGCTGCCACAAGGTGGGCATGGATGTTACTGCTTCAAATGAAGGAGTGTAGTCGAGGTTCCTTACACTTCCAGACTGATGGTTCAGTATTACTCTCGATGATTAAATTATTTGCAGCAGGGCTTGTAAGGCCCATTTGTCCATCTCTCTACCCCAAGAATTTGAATCCAATGACTGATTTAACCCTGGAGACCATGAGAGTTCCCAGTGACACCATGTTCCTACAAGACCAGTGAAAATAGCAGATAAAGGAAGGACCTAAGTGACATGTCCAGTAGAGCCAGCTAACCTTGGTTAGATAGACAAGAGTCCACCCAGAGGAGACATTATACACAGCCAACTCACTGGAGATCTGCTCAGTGCTTCACCACTGGCAGAGACCACACTTCTGACACAAAAATAGTCTTTGCTCACAAAACTAGTTGGGTTTTGAACTCTGTCTCTCATGTCCAAAGCAGGAAGGCAAAGACCAGAGTGTCCATGGAGGCTGAGGAGCAGGAGCTTGCATGAACAGGCTGGTAAGCAAGGAAAGCTGACTCTAATTGTGTGAGCTCCTGACTAATTACAAGGAGTTGGGTGGGGTAAGTGGGGAAGAGGGGAGGAAACTCCCCTCATGCTGCTGTAGGCTCAGGAGAGCTTTTCAGCGAGATGCCAGCTTGGAAGAAGGGAGGGCTGCAGCAGGGTGGCGTGGCCAGAGATGTCCTTGGATTGCCCTAACGCTCCAGAAGAGCTCTGCAAGGCAGATCCTTATCTCCTCGCACGCTTTGAACCATGCAGCTGCAAGGGGCACTGCCTTCGTGGTTATGCAATAAGCAACTGGGCCTCCAATCAGCCTAATTGCTGCCTCGCCTCCCAACCAGGAGGGCCAGGGGGACTTCTGAACATGGGCGCGTGTGCTGCAGAAACACCCACCCGCGCTCCTGCCTGTACACGCTGTCTCCTACCTGCCTGCATTCCTCCTTGCTCTCCGTCACTGAAAAATGTGCACCCCTTTGCAGGCCAGACCCTGGATCTCTGTGTTAGGCTGTTGCCACTACATGCACACGTTCCTGCCCGCCCTAAGAGGAGCACTATGAAAGTCCATCAAACTGGGGGTTTCTGTAAAGGTCTAAGTTGGCCGCTCACAGGTCCTGGGATCTCTTCCCAACTTGTGCCATGGTCTGCGGTGACTTAGCCCATTCTCAGCACAGAAGGTGGGTACCTACAAGCCCCATCACAGCCACGTATTGCAGCACCTTCAGTCCTGCCAACACCGAAATCGGTGAGATCCACACAGCTCAAGGTGGGTGTCCACAGCGTCGTCTCATCCCTGATGGCAGAAATCAGGTACAGAGTCAGTACTGGGGACTCGGGAGGGACCGATCTCATGGCATGGACAGTTCTTTCAGAGCTCCACCACCACAGAGGGACACCAAACACTCAGCTCACATAGAGACAGCCAAAGGCTTGGGAGATGACCCATGGTTCAGAGCTCACACCATCAGTGTTACTATCCCACCTCAGAAAGTCAGCTTTCTGCAGAGCCACAGAGGCAAAGCTTGCAGGGTCTTCTGTAAAGTCTAGACCAGCCACGGTCCAGGCTTACAAGACTGGATAAAAAATGCTTTGTGAGGGTCACCGTGCTCCCTGTTTACTACGTGCTGAGCCATGATGAAACCCTTCCTTGCTTGTTTTGGACCACTGCTGGCTGTCACAGCCAACACTGGCTCTTCTTGGGCACAGCGCCATTCTCACCACTGCTCCTGTCAAGCTGCTTGGGATCAGCCCTTTTGAAACATCTCCACCTGAGGACATCGTGCTGCCTGAAAGGGGTCTTCCAGCTTCCCTCTGTGCCCAGGGAGACATGCACCATCAGGGAGAGGCTGTGCAGTGATGGGAGGCTGCAGGGGTGAAGGTCTCACCTCCCCCCAGGATCTGGGGGGACCCTGTGGGTCTGGGCACAAGGTACAGGAGGGTGAGAGGTGCTGCCCTGCTTGCATCTGCAGTATCTGGAAACTCCCATGCTTGTAGGTATGAAAATGTAGGGCAGAGCTTGGGTTGGGAAGAAAATTAAAATGTTCACAATAAATGTAGCTGAAAAGTCAAGTGGGGAATTAGGCACTGCTTGGCAAAGGTACAGTAAGACGGAGCGCCGGAGGTGGGTTTTGCCCTGGGAGCTTTCCCTGCAAGCAGAGCAAGGAGGAAAAGGAGGAAACTCTTTGCCCAGACTTATACGACCACCCCACGGTTCAGAAAGGGGGTACAGCAAATCACTGCTTCGTGCCATGACCACAAGGAGCTGTGCTGCCCTGCCTGAGAGCCGCTCACTGGGCAGGACCTCAGGGCAGAATTTGTTTTAAGCATCGGAGAGAGAAAATATTTGAGTGGCAGGAGAGGAAGAGTCTTGCACAGAGCCTGGAAAGGGCTGAGTCACTCGCTGTCAGCATCAGCAGCCGAGGAGAAAGCGTGGCTGCCAAACAGCCACCTGGAGCTTTGTCAGCGCATCCTTAAAATAAAATAAAAAATAAAAAAAAAACCTCAACTTACTGCCTCTCCCGCATCCCACCGGAGAGCTACTTGTGCTGCACGCAGCCAGGGAGTTCCCTGCAAAAGCAGTGGCTGTGGAAAATGCCCTTCCCTGGCTGCAGGTGCTGGTTTCTGTTGCAACATCTCCCTTGGGGCTCTCAGAGCAGAGGAGGCTGCGTTGCTCTCCCACAGCAACCAGGCAGCCTCCAGGGACGTGTCACGGCCAAGCCGGGGCTCGGTCCAAGGACTGGGGGCGGGAGATGATTAGAGACCTGACGGCTTGGCGCTGGGAGAAGCACGATGCAAGAGCTGCCTCCGCCTCACAGAGATAACTGTGAGGCTGGCAGCACTGCTGACTTCAGCC